ATTTGCTATGTTTATATATTTTATGAAGTAGGACTAATATAAACACTTTGTAATATTAGTATTTTTCAGTGTCAGAATGCTATCAATTAGCAAATATGTCCCTATTAATCATCAATTTCATATAAAAGTAGGAATTTAAACAATTTCTGGTGTCGGGATATCTTGACACAATGTATAATAGCAACTTACAACATTTTCCACAGAAAAGTAACAGAGCATTTCCAATAAAAATAAAAATATTCTCTTTCAAATTACTTCAATATAATTGGAGAAAACTCATAGAAAGTCTATGAGTTATAGACTACTCATAAATTATTACTCAGAAATTATATTAATTACAACACTGTTTTTCCAGTGTTTCAGGCATATATCTAGCTAGCTCTCATATCTTAAATTAACCCATCTCTAGTAATCTGTGTATTGTGACTTACTGGTGCCAGCATGTTACTCCTTTGGTAAAATGGCATCTTTCTCCTTCAGCATCTACATGGCATTTCTTTGACTCCATCTACTCTATCTCTGTTTTGATTTCCTACCTGGTTCTACTCTGCTAAGTCATTGGCCAAAGCAGTTTCTTTATTAACCAATGGTAATAAAACAATCACAACATACAGAAGGGAATCCCACATCACAAGTGCATAAGAAGTTTTGCTCTGTTTAATTGCTCGTTTTTAGTGATTCAAAGAAAACTTGTTTTATTGAAATAATACACAAGATTTCTAAAGCATGACAATTACTTTTTGAATCTGTAGCACTGACCAATCTATTAAGTCTTGGGCGAAATCAAATCATTACATTTTCAAATAAGACACACGTGATTCATGAAACTTCCTTATAAATATTTACTAGTAACTTCAAATATATACACCATTAATAAGAGGTTTTATCTCTGTCTACTTTAGTCCTATAAGCTCAGATAGTTACAGTAAAATGTTCAAGGTACCATGGAAGTTAGAGAATATTTACAGTATAAAAATGTCTTTTGTCCAGAAAACTACATACATTGCATGACATTGACAAAGAATACACCACAGTCCAAGAAGAAGATAGTAAGTTGCATTTTTGTTTGGTTTTGCTAAGTTTTAACCCTTATTTTCATTTTTATGTATATAAGTGTTTTATCTGAATATTTATCCATATACCATGTGGGTGTAGTACCCATGTGAGCCAGAGAGCTTGTTGCTTGTTTGCCCTAGAACTGAATTTACAGACGGTTGCGAGCTGCCATGCAGGCTCTGTAAATTGAACCCAAGATCCCTGGAATATGAGCCAGTATTTTTAATCACTGAGCTGTCTGCCCCAATACTAGGTTGTTAAAGTACAATCCTAAACCAGACGTACCTTGCCCAAACCCAAGAATCCATGCAAAGGAAATGCCGTCAGTTTATCTACGGGAGGGCAATTATTGACATTCACTTCACCTGGTAAGATTTTATGAATCACTTATCTTCTTTCCCCTCAGAAAACTTACCATCTTTCCTTCTAAATGGAAGAGAAATGGATATAAAGGTACTTGCTTTGTAAGGGCTCCATGAAATAATCTATGCAAAGAATTCAGCCCAGTGCTCAGCAAATTTAAAAACAGAGTTAAAGTGTATTGTTGTGATGCAGGCTGAAATCCCACCACTTGGGAAGCTGAGGTGTAAGAATGAAAACTACAAGACTTGTTTAGGTGAGAATTAGTAAGATGATACCTCAACATAAAAGCAGCAGGTAGCAATGAAAGCAACCATTACCAACCTTCATATTTTCATTTAAAGTTTACAAATGACCAGCCATAATGGAGGTGAAATCCAGTCATATTTAATGTGGGAAAATAAAAGATTGCTACTCTCATCTATCAGTCACTTTTGGCTTAATCACTAAACAGAAAATATCTTCGTAAATGAGTGAATTTTTAACACTTACGAAGATTCTTTCAAAGTGAACTATGAAGCAAAACCCAGCCATTTTGCTTGTAGGAGATCTTAGTTAGGGTTTCCATAGCTATGATAAATCATCATGCCCTATAGCAGCTTAAGGAGGAAAGGGGTTATTTGGTTTATGTATATTGAGCCACATTTCGTTGAGGAAAGCCAAGACAGGAAGGCCAACAGAACAGGAACCTGGAGACAGAAGTTGATTTAAAAAAAAGACCAAGGCGAATGCTGTTTGCTGGCTTGCTATCCAAGGCTTGTTCAGATTAATTTTTTATATACTCAGGAACACCTGTGAAAGGGTGACAGTGCCCACAGCAACATGGATCCTCCCACATCAATTACAATTATATATATATATATATATATATATATTTACATACACATACATACATATACACACACATACACACCCTACTGGTGTGGAAGGTCCTTTTGTCTATGTGTTGTTGCTTTTATTGATTAATAAATAAAGAAAACTGCCTTTGCCTATTGATAGGGAAGCACTTAGGTAGGCGGGGAAAACTGGACTGAATCCTGGGAGAAGGAAGGCGAAGAGAGAGACGCTATGGAGCCGCTGCCAGAGATAGACGTGGTTGGCCGTGACCCTGTGGTGATGCACAGATGACTAGAAATGGGTTAAATTACGATGTAAGAGTTAGCCACTAAGATTGAGAGCTAATGGGTCAAGCAGTATTTTAATTAATATAGTTTCTGGGTGGTCATTTTGGTTCTGGGCAGCTGGGATGAACAACCAGCCCCTCCTTACTATATACCAAAGGCTTGTCCACGGGCCGAAATATTGGGACATTTTCTCATTTGAAGTTTCCTTCTTACCAAATAACTCTAGCTTGTGCCAAGTTGGCATAATTAATACATTAGATAGGGAATATATCTAAAACAGCATGACAGAGAAGAACTGTCAAGAAAGAGATTGAAAGGTGTATGACAACTGTATACAAGTGTTAGCCCAACAGAGTGAGCAGCTGAGCAGGCCAGGTATTGTTGCATAGAGCAGGCTCAGCGTGGAGGAGATGATAGAGAGGATTTCTGTTGTTTTGTTTCTTACAGAATGTCTCCAAAGACTCACTTTATTCTCAACTTCCTTGTTTGTGAAGCTGCACTGAAGATAAAGCTTTTCTCTGACTGTTCACTAATTACGTGAAAATATTAGCAGCATCATAAAATCAAGCCACAAGTGATAAGCAGCTCCCGTAAATAGCACTGGGATCCCTGCAATGTTAATAGAAGCAGCCGGCTGGCGGGGAATGATAAGAATGTAGTGATATTTTAATTGGCACTTGTTCTGCGCACATGCATTAGAATGGTTACAATACCAACGACATGAGTCACTGACAGTAATTCCATGTTAACAAAACACAAATTTCCTTTAATTTAGTATTATGAAGATTAAAAGGTAAGGAAATTATAAAGCCACAATTAGAGGCATTTTATTTAAATGTGTTAAAATGAGTGTTTATTCTTTGAAAATATTGAGAAGCACCACCTTATTTCTGTTGTGGTTGTACATAGCATGATGTGGCTTTGAAAAGACAAGAAAAACAAAAAAAAAACCTATAAACTCTATATCCATTAAAGTCTAATAAGAATAAACTAAATCAGACAGTTAGCATGGTAGCAAGCTCTATGAAGTTTTGATTTGAAGCACAACTTTAAACACTATTATAATTTTTGTTTTTAGTTGTTTCATATAATATAATATGATCATATATTATCCTTCCCAAGCTTCTCCCCAATCTCCCCATTTTCCTATCCACCCCACTTTATGTTATCTCTATCTCTAAAATTAATACAAATACACAAAAACAAAAATCAAAACATTCAACAAATCAATAAGACAATTAATATTTGTGATTATCTTTCCCCTCTGGTGGTGTGCAGAGTGCCTTCCAGCACCATAGAATCTGGACAGCAGGAATGAAGCTTCTAGTTAGACGCCAGATTTATTTCTTCATGTTCAGTGACATTGTATTGCCATCAGCAGTAGGGCCTTACAACCAGTTTGTAGAAAGCAGCCCATAGCCTTGACCACAGCCTGTGATAATTGGGCATTTCCGTGGGAGCATTTTGTCCAACAGCTCCACAAAATGTAATCCGTTCTTGCACTGTCTCCCCCATTAGCTACTGTAATTCTTAATTTTGAAAGCAATACCGTTCCATTCGTCTCGGCATCCTTATCCAATAGCAATTTCTATTCTCACATATGGAGGGATGTCACTTTTCAGATGATCACACCCTTAATATTTGAAACTAAAATGTGAGTTATTGATTGATAAGATAGTTATAAATTTAAGGAGGTTTTTAATATACAGAGTTAATAGTTTTAAGTGGCCCAGAATGGATCAATGGGACAAGGAACCTCCGGACCAAAGTCCTAGTTCTCGACCAATCAAATGACTAACTAGAAACTACTATGTCCATGCAACTGCTCAAAGACAAGCACCATATTTTATACAGTTGTGTTCTACCCTGTCCAGTCCAGACTGGCTCAGAGGGCTGAGAGCTTTACAGATTTGGGACAGGAGGAAAGAGGATAAAGTAGAAACCACAGGAAGATGATAAAGGAAAGGGAAGTACAGAGGAGGGAAAATGAAGCAGGATCCTTTGTGAAATGTGAGCCTGATATGCAAAGTTAGGAGAACCGGGATTGTGGGGTGGTACGAAGTTTTACTGCAGAAGATGAACACAGCCGGGCGGGCCTCTGGCTCTAGGTGTGCTTGGGAACACTCGTAGTTTTCTTGGTGAAGAAGAAATTAGCTATCTCTTGGCTCTGTTTTCTCAGCCTCCTATCCAGCCCAATTTTACATTTTCTGTTTGTTTGGATTATCCAAGGGGGTGACGGTTTCCAAGAGAACCAGACTTTCCATCGAGGCCGTCACAGTCCGGTTCTCTGGGGCCGAATCTCCCAATCTGAGTCACTCGATCTCCTGCGTGGCCTCTACTGTTCTAGGTGGAACGTGCGCTCGTGGGGCCGCAGGGGGCTGGCACCGGTCATTCGGAACTGTGGGACCACGGTGAAGGAAGCCAGGAAGCGTCAAGGGAGGACAGGAGGCTCAGGCCGCCATGGAGCTGTACCTCAGCGCCTGCTCCAAGACCGCCAATGTGGCTGCCACCAAAGCAGCCTCCAGCAGCGTGGCTGAGGACAGTCAGCAATGTGGAGATGTGAGTGGGGTGGTCACTGTGGGGCTCGGCCTGGGAGCAGCAATGGCCTTACCAGCTCCTGTCTGGCTATAGTAGGGTGCCCTAGGCTGGCTGAAGAGAGGGACTCTGTAAGGGTGTGCCCTGCAGGCCTTTGCTTCTGATTTTTGGATTTCTGTCTCTGTTGTGGGAGGAGTTGGGCCAAAACGGAAGACTACTACCGAAAGAAACAAGTTATCTGATTATGTTTCACAGAGGGTACACAAGACGGCAGTTCCAGGGGTGGGAGCCGCTCAGCTGCTGGATCTTCCTCTTGGGGTCAAGCTGCCTATGATCCCAGGAACTGACACTGTATATTTTACTACGAATATCAGTGAAAAGGTAAGGCAGCTTTTTATACTTATGTTAGTGGTCCTGCGTTCCGATGCTGTAGTCTCCTTGCTGTTAGAGAACACAGCAGAGTCTATTAGGAGACCATGTACTAGCGAACACAGCAGAGTCTGTTAGGAGACTATGTACTAGCAGGCAGACATCGGACCACAGGTATTGTTTACGGTGTGCATAAAGCAACTTCATCCAGTATGGCTTTATAGGATCATGGTCGAAAGGATTTAATTCCTCAGCCCTACTTTAATTTATATTACATGCAACATATTAACGTTTAGTTACAAGCCATTTATCTGTCTATGTATTAACTTTTTTCTTAGAATTTTTTGATTAAAAGGTTATTAATATTTGCTACTAGTTAAGACTAGTATTTTAATCAATACTGGGACTAAACTCTCAATGAAAGACATTTTTCTTTTGTGTTTTTCTTTTGAGTCAAATGCTATCCCACACAGTAAGTTAAAAAATAGATTTAAAATTATTTTTCTTATTTAGTATTATAATTCTTATAAATGGAAAAAGGCCCTGCCTCTGTGAGGATGAAATCTAGTGATCATCTTAGCCCTCTTCCTCTATATGTAGCTTCAGAATGAGTTCTTCCAGTCGAGATGGTTTAAGCCCATTTAAGCAACCAACCACTACCCATTTTTATTGTCCAATTTGTTGCCAAACTTGGTTTACTTCTTTTTTCTTCTTCATAATTTCTTAATCTGAGTCATTCTAGATGATCACTTGTAAACTACATCACAGTCACTAATTTATTTTTTCCTAGAACCTGCATTTCTTTAGGCTGAATAATTGTACTCATCACTTATATCAAATTCTTAGCAGTTAAGAGCACTGCCAGGGCATAAACGTCGTTTATATACTTCCTACTTCCCTTAAAATGCTTAGTAGTTTTGTCCCATCCTTAGCCTCCTCCAGTTCTTGACTAAATAATTCTGAAGAAGGCTTATTATGTCAAGTGTTACTTTAATTATTATTGAGAAACATGTTTATCATTGTTAAAAGTCAACATTTAAAAAGAGTTGACAGCCAAATTTTACCATCTGAGAGAGACAACAAATTCCTTCCTTGACATATTATTTTCCTTAATGATGTGTACCTCTTATCTTGTCCACTTCTCACTAAGCTACTGGAGAACCGTGCTCCCTGGAAAGCTTTTGTAGTCATTCAATCTACTCTACCAATTAGGCTCTTTAAAAGATGTTAAACCTGTGGGATTAAGACCTCAGTGAGTTAACAAAGGAGTGTTAATTACAAATGAGGACCTACTGTGTCTTGCCTTCCTGTTTGCCCAACACAAGCATTGCTTCTAGTTGTTTTTAGAGCCCTACTCTACCTGATTCTCCAGTATTCAAGAAATGAACTGAACGCATAGACCTGGAAATAAACTGGCACCTTCAGGGCCCCCTAAATTGGTGCACGATATTTTGCGGCAGTGTGAACTGAATTAGATGCCCATACACAGCAATGCTCTTCAGATTCTCTAGCTCCCCCTACATGCTTCAACGTCAACGTCATCACCTGGTATTAGTAAGCATTAGAGCTGAAAAAATACAAAGACAGCATTAGCACATTTTCACACATTCTTCTATCTGGTGCCTTTTTGTCTTCAGAAGTGACTGTGCAAGTTCTTACCATCATTCTCCTCTTGAAAAATTAACTGAGAACTCACACCTAAACCTTACTCTGATAATGTTTAAGTTGATAAATGAGACTGAATAATTTAGGTGTTTTCTTCAAAGGAAAAACATAGGGATCATGAACATTAGTTGACTGCCATTTCATTCCTTTATGTGGTTATGCTTATCATGCTATTTATATGATAATATTTATATTTATAATTGTCCTGTAAAATAATGCTTATACGTTAGTATTTGTTGTGTGAGGTTGTGTTCGCTGTTAACAGAGGATATAAACCTATTTTCTCTAAACAGGCCTTAAAACTAGTATTTAGCGGAATTGTAGAGTATAGACACCGGTTTTGTTTATGATTATAACCCTCAAAGTGCTTTCGGTTTTGGTAAAGATCCCAAAACACTATGATTCTTTATCCTTGGTATTTGGCATCTAAGTTCTACACTGCTAATATGTGTTATTTCCATTTATCTTAGTAAAAGATTTTTGCATTATTTTTCTTCACTTTAAGATGATTGAAACATAGTAGTTAACATTATCCTTTTTTTCTTTTATGTATAGTGTCTTAATCTAGGGGGAGAAAGAAAAGACAGAGTCCTAGCGTTGGTTTTATTTCTTAGAACAAATCATGCACTATTCCTATTCTTTTCCTCATCCTGGTTTTTGTATCATGGCCATAAGGTGATGCATCAGGGAACAAGCTGGCTTAATGGGGCCAGCTATTTAAATTACTTCATGTGGGTGAGGGGAAGAAGAGAAACTTGTCTGAGTAAGTCCTCTTGTTGCTTGCTTATTCCCAGTTCAAATTTAAACTGCATGTCTGATTTTTTTTAGTCATGTCAGCAGGTTAATTAAAAGTGGATATACATTAATTTATATTTGCAATATTTTAATATCTGTGTATGCAGCTTTTTCGACCTTCCTATGGTTTTAACCTGAGTGATCCTTACTGCCGACTTTTGGAAACCCAATATAAAAGTCTCCATGACCCACATTTAAGAACATACTATAAGCGCAAAGATATTTTGAGAAGACTAAAAAAGGGAGGCTACATCACCAGCAATAACAAAGTAAGTGGACGCTTACTTGTTTTTCTTAATCAGAGAAAACTTGTATCATTTTGTGTTTGTTCACCTACACTAAGGAAAAATAGTCTGTTGGTGCAAAAAACACAGCTTTCACCTCTAATGGAATAAGAAATGATTTCTTCTGGAGCTGAGAATAAATGACCAGTGCTCAAGAATGATCAGGAACACAGACTTCAGTTACCCCAAATTCCATGATCTAATGTGGAAGTAGCCTCATGAAGTTTTATAGTAACTAAACAAAGAAAATCATGAATCAAGAGACTTTTAAAATATGATGGTGGAAATATCAGAGAAGTGATTATAGTCAATCAAAGAAGTCTCAGCTGTAGGCCGTGGATGCTTTGTGAATAACATTCTTCGCCCTTTGAGGGGTAGAAAATAGGGTTTTGTTGATAGGTTAAAAGGGGCTTTTACTGTTAGTTCCAATACAGGTGGGCAATGAATGTTTAAAGGCCCTTTCAGATCAGTTATTCCTAGGCTGTGTGTCTGCAGCCTTCCATTCCCCCGCCCCACATCACTGAAGTCTAGTCTGAAGGCCAGCTTGTCAGGCACAGCATCGTCGTTCCGGAAATTGTCTTACAGAAGTTATCACCATTAGCTTTCTCGTAACAGGATACTTCTTGGCCAGCTTTATAGAATACTCAGAGATGAGGATTCCACATGTGATTATTTCTTTCACCCTTTTCTGTTTAATATCAAAATATTGTTGTTGAGTATTTTGTAGCGGCAATGGAATATTAATAATGTTCCCAGCTGATTCATAGTTCTCTTTTTTTCTGTTTGTAACGGTACTGTTTTGTTATGTATGATTTATATTTTAAAAATATTAAGATGGAAATGTAGGAAAGGTAGTTTGTTAGCATCCTGAGAGATTATTCTTATTGCACTTGAACATTATATGTACAATGATAATCCAATTATAATGAATTAGAATTACCATTTTAATAACTAAAGTTATATGTGAATGATAACATCCTATTTATAACAAAGTTTTATTTCTAAATAGAAGTTTCTTGCTTACAAATGTAGAGGCACCACCTCTCAAACTGTTAATAATTTCTTACTCTTCACACCAATATGTCATTAAATTTTCTTTTTTTATTGATTTTTATTGAGCTCTGCATCTTTCTCTGCTACCCTCCCTGCCTCTCCCCTCCTCTTCAGCCCTCTCCCATGGTCCCCATGCTCCCAGTTTACTCAGGAGACCTTGTCCTTTACTACATCCCTTGTAGATTAGATCCATGTATGTCTCTCTTAGGGTCTTCATTGTTGTCTAGATTCTCTGGGATTGTTTCTTTGCTATATGGCAGCCCAGCTAGCTCAGTCGGTAGAGCATGAAACTCTTAAACTCAGGATCATGGGTTCGAGCCCCACGTTTGGTGTCATAAAAAATTTCATTGCCTTTTTTCCCTCTAATAAGCAACTGTTATGACTTTCAGTCTTCGTACATTTAAAATATTGATACATTACTTGTTTTATTTTTAGATCGTATGTAGTTTGAGGGAACTGAATAAATACCGGCAATATCTTACAAGCTTAAAATTAGACTTTGAAAGAAACTACTTAAGAGAACAGGTAAGTTATGCGTTTAAAATCAGTGGTTCAAATAGACGATGAAAGGAGGTTTTGTGTGTACCTGAATGTGCGTAAAATATTGTCTTAAATTTTGAAGTTTAATTGCTAACTAAATAATATTCTATACGAAATTTGGAGAAGAAGTAAACAATATTTGGAAGTTGCAACTTTTGCCCAGTAAGGGAAAAAGATTAGATCATAAGATCAATATACTAATATTTAGTATAATTATTTATATTTAGGTGTTAATGTAGTAGGTAATTCAGTAAACCAAAAAAGTCAGCAGGTCAGATAAGCTAGTTAGACCCTAGCTGGCAGTAGAAGCTGTCTCTTGTACTAGAAAAATTCCAAAGCTAAACCCAAAACAGTCTTAGGAACAGCTGTTTTTCTTCGTTACATCTGCGATGTCCTACATAACACTGAAGAACCATAGACCTTGAGTTTGTATCTATGTACAGATACCGTATTCATTCACAAAAACTCATAAAAGTGAGACAGAATTCTTAGGTTATGCTTGTTTCTTTTAGTCCTGAATCAAAATTATGTATACCATCTCTCTCTCCCTCTCTCTCTCTGTCTCTCCTCTCTCTCTCTCTCTCTCTCTCTCTCTCTCTCTCTCTCTCTCTGGCATGTGTAGATGGATTCAGGTGTTTTTTTTAAAGTCAGGAGAGCTGAAAATTAGTAAAGCATGTGCTCACAATTTTATATTACGAAGTAAGAATGTTAGAGAAAAACAAGAATGACTAAGGTCAGTTCAGTGCCCACCTGAAATCCCAGAACTCTGCAAACTGGAACCAGAGAACTGTGAGTTCCAGGCTAACCTGGGTTATATATTTTGAGGTATTGTGTCATAAAAACCAAAAAAAAATGGAAAAATAGACAGAGACAGAAAATGTAGTATTGATGATCAAATAAAATAGCTGTCTTCTGTTTTTAGAGCAATAAATCCTTATTTTAGTTCAGCTTTCGACTTTTGTAATGGATTCAAAATAGAATTAAATGCAGTTAAACAATTTACCATTTATAAAATATAGGAATTTTAATGATTATATTTCTGGGAAATGTAAAAATTTTATATATTTCTGGCATTCTTTTATTAAAAAAAATAGCAATTGATTACAAAACAGCTACACAAACTGCAAGAAACCAGTCAATTTACTCACTGTTCTGACGTCACACGGTTCCAAAACTGGTTGTTACAGGACAACACACAGTCTATTAAGGACCAAGAACGTTTGTTAAGACACAGGTGAGCCTGAAGCCCTATTATTTTGTGTGAGTGTGTGTGTGTGTGTGTGCACGCACGTGTGCACGCATTTCTGCAATAAATTATACTCAAAAGCATTGTAAGCAGGACTTTTATTTTCTTAAGTAGTAAACAGTATTCAATTGACCTTTGTTCATTGGTAAGGAAAGAAAGGGAAATGAGAGAGGTGCAAGGATTGGGAATCTTGGTCCTAAAGCTATGAGTGGCTACTTCTTCCAGGGGAGCTGAGATTTCTGGGAACCCAAGAGATAATGAAGTGAGAGCTGAAAGAAGCACCAGATCTCAGAGCCACTCTATAGGAGAAATTATTTTAGCAGCAGCTAAACAGAAAAGCAACTTTTAAAAACCCTCCTTTAAAGACTGACAGCATTAAATCAGTTCAAATCAAAACAGGAGTTTTAGTATATCTGAAGAAAACACGAACATTCTAAAATAACTGCAATGTATTCAAATACTTCCCATTCATAGTCATTAATTAGCATTACATTACCAAATTAATTTTTCTGAATGAAAACCTATGTTCCAGTCTTTTTCCTTTACTAAGAGTGAGAGTTTTATATTATATAGTTTTGTTTTCCAACAGTGCCATAAGACACACTGTAGAGTGATATTTTGTTTGTAATCTAACAAATAAAGCTTGTCTGAGGATCAGAGTGCAGAGGTAAGCTACCAGTTAGTCATAGAGGCCAGGCAGTGATGGACACGTTTCAACCCAGCATTCCGGAGACAGAGGAAGATGGATCTCCATGAGTTCAAGGTCACCCTGGACTACTTGAGATTGACTCTGTCACACAAAGATGATATCAGTACCGTGGGATAACATGCCTTTAATTCTAGCTCTTAGGAGGTGGAGACAGGAGTGATATGGCTGGGCAGAGAGAGGAATATAAGGTGGGAGGAGACAGGAGCCCAGCCGCAGTCTGAGAATTCAGGAGAGACAAAATCGCCCCTTGTAGTCTGAGGATTTGGTTGCCGTAAATGTCTCTGTAGTGGATGGCAGTACTGCTTCTCTGATCTCCCAGCTTTCACCCCCTAACATCTGACCCTGGAATTTTGTGATTATGAACATTTAGAATTCTTGCTACGGCACCGTTGTCCCAGACCTTCAGTGGGAGTTTTGTGTTGCTACCAAGAGCCTCGTGCTCACGTTGTTCTGAAAGTATACTTTCAGTGGCTGTGTTACAAGCCTTGTTTTCTGTTGTGTGTAGAAGTCCAGGTTCTTAAACCCACCGAATTATGGTTCATTGTGTAAAACACAGAATCAGCTTTTCCTCCACCCCACTATTTCTTTTCTTTTCTTTTTTCTTCTCTTCTTCTTCTTCTTCCTCTTCCTCTTCCTCTTCCTCTTCCTCTTCCTCTTCCTCTTCTTCTTCTTCTTCTTCTTCTTCTTCTTCTTCTTCTTCTTTGGTTTTTTCGAGACAGGTTTCTCTGTAGCTTTGGAGCCTGTCCTGGAACTAGCTCTTGTAGACCAGGCTGGCCTCGAACTTACAGCGATCCACCTGCCTCTGCCTCCCGAGTGCATGGCATGCGCCACCACTGCCCCCCCCCTATTTCTTTAACCTTACTAACAAATATGTATTGAAAAAGAATTAAGAATAAGCCAAACATTACGAGTACATCTGATCTGAAGAATGATAAATGGAACCAACAAAACTACAACAAAATATAAAAGCCCTATGAAAGTTCTGTCATAACCATAGCAAGCACGGCAGGACCTGGCTTGGAGTATGGTGATAAGCCTTCCAGTTCACCTGCAATCCTATGTACACCCTCACTCAGGTATTTGGATATGATCAGTAAGGAATTGGAACAACTCGAGCGCACAGCGGAAGAGCAGCGCCTGCTCCGCATGGACAGGGAAGAGAGACGGCAGCGGGAGTATACAAGAAAAAAACTCAATCTTCGGAGAAAAATCGAAGAGGTAAGACGTGACTACAAGTGTTGTGAGGGGAAAATACACAGTTTTTCCATTCGCAAATAAACTTAACATTAGAGGCAGATACCGCAAACAGCATAATGAACAAATATTTTTTAAAAGATGAATTTAAAAAGGTTATTAAGCATGGTTTCACTTTACATTCACTTCAGTGTGCATAGGAAATAATTTTTAAATCGCCTTTGCTAAAAATGAACCATGGCTAATTTTTATTTGTAATTTAAAACTATTCATTTGTGTGTGCACACCGCACAATGCAGTGGAGAAGTCAGGACAGCTTCTGGGGGTCAGTTCTTTCCTCTGCTACGAGGGCTCTGGGAATTGCACTCAGATTAACAGGATTGGCAGCAGGCACCTGGCCTTGCGCTTGCTTTCTTAGTACAAGAGCCCTAAGAAAAGGCCATTCGAAAAGCGCTGAGTGGCTTTCATACATCTGTCCCCAGAAGTGTTGGGCCCTCGACTTGCCAGGTGTTTTCTTGGTGGTGGATAAAATGCACCTGCATTGAAAACAAAATGCCCTCTCCCCTCCACGGTAATACTGTGGTCCTTAGGAATGGAAGACAAAGGAGATGCTGCTGCTCACAAAGATTGGAGAAGATGTCAAGAGAGAGCAGCGGGTAGAGGAACAAAGGCGCAGAAGCCGAGAAGAGAGCGACAGAAAGGTAGTATGAGCTTTAAGGGCTTTCTTGGGATACTTTAAAAGGAGCTTGGATTTTCGGAGAAAATATTTGCGTGGCAAATTATTCAAAAACTATATATATCGCAAAACTAAATGTTAAAAACTTAAGAACCAAAAACCCGGGTGTTGCTGCGCGGCGAGGCCTATTTATGAACTTCAGGAAATCTGCCGACTTCAGTCTCCTGCGAGACTGGCCTTGTACCCACTGCAGTAGCCGCTGTATCTAGATGTGCACATGCCCAGTCTATTGCGTGTTGTGAGTTAAAAAGCATTGCTTCGTTATTTGATGAAACCTCTTGCACATTCATCTTCTAATAAAACTAGCTTTAGTTCTCATAAAAATCTTACTTTCAAAAACAACGTTCTTTTAGAGAATTCTAAGTTTTTGGTAAAAAATCTTTGTTTTTCCTTCATTTTTAAAAAGTTCCACTCTTTCTATGTTTAGTAATATGTTGTACTTTGTAATTTAGAATGTAAAACAGTATAAGAAAACAGCAGCTTACTGTTAAGTACATAAACACACACACACACACACACACAATGTTCTTGTGAGTTAGTATTTAATCCTAAAGTATGTCTTTTTTAAAAAAGATCTATTTATTTTTAGTTTATGTGTAGGGTTAACAGCATATATGCATGTGCACTACATGCTTGCATGTACAGAGGCCAGAAGAGGGAGTCAATCCCACGTAACCTGAATTACATCTGGTTGTGTGCCCCATGTGGGTGCTGGAAACCGAGCACAGGTTCTCTGCAAGTGCTCCTAATACCCAAGCCCCCTCCTGCTTTTGATTTTATATCCTATAGGTTATTTTGTAGGCGGTTTCTTTATTTAATAAAGCATACTAAATGATCATTCATGTTAATAAATGTACATCTAAAATTCTACATTTGGGGTAAACTATTCTTGACAAACTTAGATGTAAATTTTACAAAGTTTTATGTGTATTACAATATATCATTATACTTAAACTTCACAAAATATTGGAAATTGAAGTAGCTGTTTTATTTTTCTATAAAATATCATAAATTGAAGTTTTTACTTTATTTTCCATTCTGCTTCTCACATCTTAGCCTTGTTCGAGATTCACTGATGATGTGAATAAGTAGGCTTGTCTTACTTAATATAATCTACATATTAATACCTTATATTCAGTGTTTCAACAGCTCTGTACATACCTAAAGATAGCACACACACATAAAATAGTTAATTGTAGTAGATTTTAATAATAGAATAGTACTAGGCGTAGCAGTTTCTGTTGCCCTGCATCTCAAAAATAAAATAATACTTTTACTAGAATTAGCTTTGAGGTTCTCTGTGTCTCTAATACTTACTTTTCATAAGACTTAAAATTTTTTATTACTAAGCCAGGCCTTGTGGCACATACCTTTAATCCCAGTACAGAGGCAGGCAGATCTCTGTGAGTCCGAGGACAGTCTGGTCTGCAAAGTGAGTTCCAGGACAGCCAGAGTTGTTACACAAAGAAACCTTGTCTTGAAAAACAAACAAACAAACAAATTCTATTACTAGATTGCCAAAAGTTTTATCAGAAAGGAATATTAGTGGGTTGTCAAATATTTTCTTTGATGATTTTGTTGAATTGTTGTTAATGGTTCTTTGGAGTGTATAAAATAAGTGAAACATTAAACTGTCATTAAATCAATTCATTTGGTCAAATTTTACTGTAATTTTTATGTTATGTAGTTTGATACATAGTGCCAAAAGTATGTGCAGAATTTTGCAGAAGAAATCAGCTTTATTTTTTATCTCATGTAGTTTCTTTGTCTAGATCTGGTGTCAGTGCAGCACAATATCATTCAGCTAGGTTATAACTCTGCTTGGGTTTCTCCTGAATCTCTGAGTTCACCATTTGTGGCAACTTTGGAATTTTTTAGGTACCAATTGTAAAATATTTCTGTTCTATCTCATATTAGTTACTTTTCTCTCTGTGGTCAAATACCCAACAAGCAGTGACTTAAGGAAGGGAGAGTCTATTCTGGCTTTCAGTTTGAGAGGATACAGTCTCTCTGTAACTTACGGAAATAATGCAGGATCAGGACAGCTGGTCACTGTGCATCCGCTTTGGAAGCTCAGAAAAAAATGAATGTCTGTGCTCACCGCAGCTTTCTCCTTTCTTTTCTGAGGTTCCAGCCCCTGGAATAGTACCGCCCACATTTAGGGTGCATCCACTCTTCTCAGTAAACAACCTTGCAGACCCATAGTGTGGTAAATATCCACAGTGATCCTCAGTCCGACAAGCTTGCAGTAAAGATCAACTGCACATGGATTATATGCTTTCCTCTTGCCAGAACCCTAACTACTTCAAACGGTCTCTAGCTCCCTGAAAGTCTGGGTGTTCTCCCTTTCAGGGCTCCCTCTAAGATCCTTTACATCACTGAATTCATACAGAATGCACCTATGCTGGGTGCACTGAAATTTTCAACTTGAAGTCTAAGGTCGTCTTTCTTAAGTTAATTATAACTGAATGATATATTTTTTATAGGTGACATGTCCCTGTCTCTTTACAGGCCTAGCATTCTGCAACTTGATGCCTTATATTGACTTCTTGTGTTCAGTCTTTCTATTACTTTGGAAATAGTTCTGATTAATCAGACTTTTTATGATTTACTAGGTGAGACCAGTGTTACTGTTCATCAGATCTAGGTATTGCCTATAATCGAAACCATTTTAGTGTTCTCGCCAGTACGACTCATGAAGCCTTCCTAGTGGAGCTTGTAAAAATGCATACAATTTTCATCTTTATGGAAATGCAAAGCTCCCTCTCCTCTCACCCCTCAGGATGTTTTTATGTTCTCTTGTGTACTTCTTTATGTGCACTGATCCTTTTTCTTACAGAATGCTGAATAACATGTCTAGGGCTCTCTCTGTGTATCTGCCACTCTTCTGACATGTGCATGCTCAATAGTAGCCCAGAGATTCACAAAAAAAAGTTACATTTCTAAAACTGCAATCATTCTTCCGAAGTATTCAGTGAGGTAAACTGTACCCACCTAAGTGTGTGATCAGAAATAGAAATGGATTCCTTACTGCTCTCTAAATACTCTAAATTTACAAGTCAGAAAACAAAAATAAGTGTCTATTTCTATTATACTATATGGTTTAAATATTTATTTGGAACTTATAAATGTCAAATTAATACTCACCAGTATTTTTTCTTTACTATTTTAGAAACAAGCAATGCTAGAGAAAAAAATGGCCTATCATTTGCAAAAAATGCAGGATACTGGCTTAAAAGATGACATGGGAAGAAATGCATTTGAATATAAAGGACAAAATGGAACTCTTTATGAATGTGAGAATATTATGCCATTCAGTTGATCTATGTAACAAGTAATATCTTACATACTTGTACTCCCTACCACTTTATATGGGGTCTTAAACTAATGATTTCCACACTACTATTCAAGTTGAAAAGATCACACATACAAATGGATGCACACATACACACATACACACACACACCAAAACTAAAATAGTATTTTCAACTGGTTCAAGTGACAAATTTGACTTCTCTTCAGTTTTTACATCAATTTCCTTATTCTTAATATAATGTATATTTTACTACTAACACATTAAACTAATGTGTAAAATAATTATTTTCCTACATCACCATTGTGCTTTAATATGTTGTCAACTAGTAAGAATAGAAAGACCCTGGTGAATTAAGGAGATAAAGAAGGAGAAAGATTGTGGAGAGAAGAAGGGAAACTTGGACAAGAATGGGCAAAGGTTTAAAAGTAACAGAACGTGGCTGAGTGTGCCCAATTCACGTCAGGAATTACAATGAAATGATCCATATCAGTTATTGGTTAGCATCACAGAAGGTCTTTTAAACGTTCTAGGAGTGCACACTATTGAGAGAACACGGTCGTCAGTCTTTTTTCTCATCAACCCCACTTGTAGCTCAGCACCCCCCCCCCCCATGTCACTCTGTTACCTTATTAACTGGTCTAAACTGGATTCTGCTTTACCTTCCTCCACCCATATTTTGCATCTGTTTAATTCTGATAATTTCATCTGATGATCCCAAGCTTTTTTCTATACATTCAGTTTAAAGGGTGTATGCAAGCACTCCTCACCCCATGGAGTTCAGTCTTAATTTAAACTTCCAGGTTTCATTTTTCACTATTTTCTGAAGATGAAAGCTGTCCTCTCCTGGTGCCATGTCCAGGCTCTGGAGCCAGACTGTACTGACCAACATCTCCTCTAACTCCTTCTTCATAATTTTCAAGACCTGTAAATGGTTTTGTCAAGTTATCACGTCACAGACACTATCACCATCTAAAACGTAACATAGTACACTAAACAACTATGAAAACCTAAAAATTCTAGTACATAGTAAGGTTTCATTTATAGTTCCATCAAATAGGAGTACTGAGTATTATACACAAATTAAATTTCCCGTTTTTGCCTCTCTATGTTCATTGTCTCAGCCCTACTATTACTACTAGCCATTTCTCTCTAATCCTTCACACTTAATGTATATTCAATCAAGTATTTCTTGATAACCTTAAATTGTATGATCCCTTTTTTTTGAGTCACTAGAAGCATTCAATACTCCAGATAACTACAGATTTCTAATAATTTCAATCACTGTAATACTAAACTTCTACTTTTATGTGTCATAAAATTTTGAGAAGAACGTATCTGTTCATTAGTTCACTAGATGAATTAATTCAATTGATTTGCTTTTTTAAAGGATTAGTGGAACCCTATGCTTCAGATTGCAAATCACTTGAACAGCTTTGTACATCCTGATATCTCTTTCTCATGCAACGGGGAAATAGTGTGAGCTGTTAACTTTTTCACGCATTTTTAAATTTTTCATTTTTATGTGTAGGCACACGTATGTAGAATGTGCATACTTGGTATCTCTGGAGGTCAGAAGAGGGCAACAGATCCAGACCCTTGGAACTGGTTGGTTGTAAGCAATCATGTGGGTTCTCAGAACCAAACCCAGATCATCTGCAAGTCCAAAATTTGCTCATAACTTCTGAACCATTTGTTCCGTCCCCTGCAGTAGCAATCTTTTACTTATTTGGTTTTCTGAGAAAGGGTTTTTCTATGTTGTTTTTGGAGCCTGTCCTGGAACTTGCTCTGCCAACCAGGCTGACCTTGAACTCACAGAGATCCGTCTGCCTCTGCCTCCTCAGTGCTAGGATTAAAGGCCTGTGCCACTACAATCAGGCCTCGAATTAGCAATTTGAAACATTGCTACATCATATTTTCTTTAGAAAACAGCATATTAATATTTTCATAATTCAGAGTGACAAGGAATAAAGACATTAATATCACAATTGTATAGCACTGTAGTAATGTTGTCTTATACCAAGAGAACAAACATATGAATACCTATAACCCACCTGTATATTTTTGTTTTTACTCACCTCAAAGTCAAATTCAAGAATCTGAGGGTCATTGTGGGCTGATAAATCTTCATCAATGTCATTTTGCTGTCATGTATTCCTTACAGAAACTCAGGGTTAGGTGTAGGTTTCCTTCTTTCAAAAATAAAAATAGTCTCTCCGTGTACGTCTTTTAAGTTAAATACATAATATCTCAGAAATAATCAGCTCTTTCCATTTGCTGTTTCTCCATCTTCTTTCTGTTCCCCAAATACTACCTGCAGATTAACAAGGACTTACTTCTTTTTAAGCACAAAAGGATATTTTGTCTTGGATAATTCTATTATCACCACTAATATTGTCTTATTATGTTTTTAAGCTTCTATGAAGAAGAAAAAGAAGCGTTTTGATGATATAAAAATAGTCTATCCTGATGGTGACGATAGAACATGTAAAGGAACATCAGGTAATTGAATATTTTAATAAATACCACATATTAGAGTAGTGATTTGGGGGAAGACTGAGTTGGTACTAACCTTTGCTTGAATGCAGGTGAAGCTTCAGCTCCTTCTGGTGAGTAACTGCATTTTGAGAGTGACTTCCATGTACTGATTTCAGAATTTAAGCTCTAGATAACTAATTTAGTGCTTTCAATTGGTCATCAGACTTTCACTGAAGAACAGTTAAATGCAGGATTTATTCATATTAATTACAAATCAGATTGACTGATTATAAAATACTTTATATTCTCAGAATGATTTCAGAAAACTCGGAAATATTTCAGAATATTGATTCTAAGATGAAGTGAACATTTGTCAGGCTATTGCCTTCTATCATTCTTATGCTGAGTCACTTTGTTTTTCTTCTGAGTTCACCAGATTATACCATTAATTCCCAAACAAGAAGTACTCTAATGGTAATCGTGAAAAGGAAAAAAAAGTTAGAGCTGAATAAGATCATACTTTTTTCCCCTAAACTCTCAAGCTGCAGTTAATGTGTAAACTTAGAGTAACCTTGAAGCATACTGATTAAAACCTAAAAAAAAAAAAACCAGAAAGTCCAAGTTTTCTTAGATTTATGTGTAATCTGCTTGCTTTTTTACAAACTCTGGAAAGCTGGCGTAAGGAAAATGCTGCCTAGTCTTCAGCTTTCCAGGCTGCTCCAGGGCCCTCTGAATCTGAACTTGTTCATCTCCACGACCCTCATGGGCTCATCATGTGTTTGAGTGCTTGTACCTAGCTGGCAGAACTGTTTGCAAAGGATTAGGAGGTGTGGCCTTGTTGGAGAAGGTGTGTCACAGAAAGTAGGGCAGCTTCTAGGGTGCAAAAGGCCACTCCATTTTCAGTTAGCTTTTCTCAACCTCCTACTAGAGTTTGGGCACCATACCATGGCCCTGAAGGAAGTCTTACTCTCCTCTACCAACAGCTATCACAGCAAACTATGGCTACTTCAGTGTTTAATACAACTGTACGTGTTCTTTGCTGCTGTTGTTCCAGCGTCTCATCTTGTAGCCCAGGTTGGCATCAAGCTTCTGGCAGTCCTTATGCCTCAGCTTCTGCTGTGCAGGTAGAACAAACATAAGCCAGCAGAGCTTTACCTAGTTTCACGTTGGTTTTCTGTCTGGCTATTGTTTTTAATTATGCTCTCTAGGCAGTTTTATCAGGGGTATTCTAAGTTATAATAATATTTTTCTTCCAAATAAACAAAGAGTCAACATTGTATATCCTTTATTGGAAGATAGCATCCTTACTACTATTTTCTAATATTCTTATCCTTCAGAATTTTCTCATGTACTACATATATATACATCCAGTATCCAGTTACACAGTTTGGTAAATTTTCCTTTTAATTATGAAATATATTTTGCAAACTTAAAGAAAAACTGTATTATTTACCCTGATTATTACCATTGTGTTTCCTTTTATTACCTTTCTGCAAGATTGGTGTCTCTTATATAACAGCCTTTCTAACAATAAATGAACCTAGTTTTTTGCTGCTGTTGTTGTTTTTGATCTCATAATCTCTTTACCTCTGAAATTCATTACTCTCATTTGAAATGGACTTTAGGTTAACAGTTGATTGTTTTTATTTATACTTTTAAAAAACCCATCTGAGACTAAGGAATTGGCTCAGTCTTTGAAGTGCTTTTCACACAGGTACAAGGACCTGAGTTCACATCCCCAGCATTCATGTTAAAGTCCCGAGTTTGTAACTCCAGTGCCAGGATGGAGTGGACCAGAGATAAAGGTTTGCCTGGACCTCATTGGTCAGCTAAATAGATGAGCTCCAGATTCAGTAAGAAACTCTGGTTCTAAATATTAATGTGGAGCCTGATCTAAGTAGATACTTGTCATTGACCGCAGGCCTCCACATACATGTACACACACTTGAATAGACACCATGTAAACATATACACACTGTCACAGACATGTACACACAGCACACACATGTCTACACACAGATAAAATATTCTAATTCATTGTTTTTTCATAATCCAAGCAAAATGCTTGTAATATTTTAGATATTGTTCATATATCTAATAAGATATTATATACAGTCTTCTGTGCATTGCTCTTCAAAATCAGCATTAATTTTTTTCTTTTGGCAGATTTTTTTAATAGTTTTTAAGGGTTTTTAAGCTTTTCCTAGTAAATACTTAAATACATATAAAACTGAAGAGGGGATCATAAAGATTTGTGTGGCCATGACCGCCACTCTCAGCAGTTCATGAGCTACTTTATCTGTGTCAACACACCTGGTGCCAAATTGTTGTGAAGTCCATCACACTTATATCATCATCATCAATATTTCAATATGTAGTCTGAAAAGAAAGGATGAAAAATAAAGCATGGGATAAAATTACCACTACCACATTACACATACTAATAATTTATAATTCTATATTCAATAATTAAACACTTTAAATTTGCAACAGTATCAAATGTCAAAAACTTTTCAAGTTAGCTTGAACCTCATTGACCAGAATAGCAAATGGCTTGTTATGCCTTTGCCTCCTCTCTTTGAATGAACTCCAATTTAGTTTTTTGTTTGTTTGTTTGTTTTGGTTTTGCCTTCTTTATTAGTGTACGGTAATTAGAAAACAATAGATTTCACTATAATTTTATTATAAATGTAACACAACATACATAGAGACTCAAGAAGAGAAGTCAAATGATTGTCTAATAGATAGAAATACTATTTTTAAGCAAAACCCATTTACCCTCATGGAAAAAGTTATGGAGAAACACACCTCGACATGAGAAAGGTTTGGTGTGACAAATCTATATCTAACACTATCTGAGTTCAGAGCTCAAAGCTCTTCTATAAAATAAAAAGCTGGACGTGGTGCCCACACTCTGAACCCTGATGTACGTATAGTGCTTGAAGTCTTAGCAAAAGCAATAAGGAAAGGAAAGGAAATTAAACGGCATAAATGGTAAAGAAAGAAACAGCATCACTATTATTTGTACTCAGCATAGTTCTGTGTACAAGAAGACATAAAGGCTTTAACAAAAAACAGCATAGACCCAAAGTAGACCCTCTGAATGTGGGTGACAGTTGTATGGCTGGGGCAGACTGAGGGGCCACTGGCAGGGGCAGATTTATACCTATTGCCTGTACTGGCTTTTTGGAATACATTCTCTTGCTCAGCCTAAGTATAGTTGGGAGGGCCTTGGACCTTCCCCAAAGCAATATGCCTTACCCTCTCTGAGGAGTGGATGGGAGGTGGGGTCTGAGGGAAGGTAGAAGGAATGGGAGGAGGGGAGTGAGTGGGAACTGGGATTGGTATGTAAAATGAAAAAAAAAATGGTTTGCTTTCTTTTTAAAGAAATAAAATAAAAAAGAGTATTAAAGACCTCTAATGTTATGGACCAGCATAATTAATATTGTGAAAATGATTTTACTATAAAATTAATCTGCAAGTTTAATGTAATCCTTATCAAGTTATTATGTAATCTTAAAGAAATTGATAAAATAACCACCAAAATTCCAATGTAAGTACAAAAGACTCTAATTTTCCAAAACAATCCTAAGCAAAAAGAAAAATGCGGAAAGTATCACCATGCTGAATTTGAAGTCATATTACAGAGCCATCCTTCTGGTTGTTTTTTTGTTTTGTTTTGTTTTTTGGTTTTTGGTTTTTGGTTTTTTTTTTTGTCAACTGAACACAAGCTAAAGTTATCTATAAAGAAGGAAATTCAGTTGAGAAAAAGTTCTCATTTGTGTAGCCGATAGGCAAACCTGTGAGGCATTTTCTTGATTTATGATTGATGTAAAAGAGCCCAGGATGTAGTGACATCCCTGTGCAGTTGATCCTGGAATGTATATGAAAGCAAACTGAGCAAGCCAGGAGGAACAACTCAATAAGCAGCATTCCTCCATGGCTTCTGCTTCAGTTCCTGCCTCGACTTCCCTTCCTGATAGACTGCAGTGGTAAGATGAAATACATTCTTTATTTTCCCAAAGTTGCTTTTGGCCAAGGTTTATATTATAGCAGTAGAAACTCAAGATAACCATAATAACAAAAATAACACAATACTGCCACAAAAAGAACATGTAGAATAATGGAATAAAACAGAAGATCTTATAAGCCCACACTACCAAATAGCCAACTGATTTTTGACAGAGTTGTTAAAAGTCTGAACTGGAGAATACAATGCTGAGTTCAGCAAATGGATCTGGGAAAGCCAGATAGCTACAAGTGGAAAAATAAACTAGATGCCTATTTCTTGCCTTATACAAAATTCAATTCCAGAGAAATCAAAAAATGTAAAATAAACACAACTGCTAGATTAAAAAAAAACTAGTTACAATATTAAAGACCTAGGCATAGGCAAAAATTACCAAATGGGATTGCACAGAATTAAATGACTTCACTCTCAAAATATGTTTTAGACAATTGAATGATTAAATGGAGGAGTGAATGAAGTAAAATCTTTTCTAACTACACATATAATCTTGGGTTAGCATTTGGAATAAATACACACACACACACACACACAAAAGAAAACAGGAAATCAACCAATCCAACCTGTAACTAAACTAATAAATAGGCACTTCTCAAAAGATGAGGTATAAATGACCACCAAACTGATGAAATAAATCATCAACATCATTAGAAAAATGGAAGCCGAAACACCTGGCGAGATGCAAATCAAAACACTGACATTCATTTCCACTCCAAACTAAATTGCAGTCATTAAAAAACAAATAACAACACATGCTAATGAGGGTGTGGATTTCAAAAAGTGAAGGAAGTCTATCTCTACATGTTGGTGGGAACATAAATCAGTCTAGTCACTCTGAAAATCTGTATGGATTTTTCTAAAAACTTAAAAACAAATCTACCACGTAAACTAGCTAAATCATTTTTAGCTAGTTTTAGCTAGTTTTAGTTAAATCACTAAAAACTCAAAACAAATCATGCAGAAACCTGCACATCAATGTTTATTTCATTACTGTTTAAAATAAATTATAAAATCAAGATTGGTGTCCTTCAACAAAAGAATAAAGAAAGTATGGTGTGTTTGCACAGCAGAATTATGTTTAATCAAACACATGGTAATTTAAAACAATGAGAGTGAGCCAATGTTTGCACTTTAGCGTTTGAAAGTTTGTGCAAATTTAATTTCCCTTAGAAATATGCTTCAATCTATGAAGTCACTTAAACTCAAGAAATAATTTGTGTCTGGTACATTTTTGCAGAAATTGTTTTTAGAGAATCATTTATTTATTTGTTTGACAGTAATTTACTCACATTTTAATTATTCATAAGTAGGAGTTGATAAGGAAGTTTTCAAGAGCATTGTCTTTTATGTAAGTTTTCATATCATCCCTCCTGTATTGTCCTTCTTTCTTAATCATTTGGCAATTATTTGTAGTCTCTGCTGTGCTGATTGATGTCTTTTCCTTTCCCTGCTCAGTCTTGTTTTTCATTTTTACTGAATTTAGAGCCGCCTGTTTGTATCATTACTTTTTTACATTTTTTACTATGTCTTTAAATGAATTATTTTCTCTGCTTATTAAGTATTGAGAGGAATATGTGAAAGAAGAGTACTTATGACCCACTGGTGACAGATATTATAATAGGGTGATCACTTTGATAGAGTTTTTGAGGTTACTTAAAGTTATAATTATCATTTGGCCCAGGTGGTTTTTATGATAAAGATTTATTCAATTTAACTAAAATAGATTCAGAGACAAATCAATAGTTTTATAGATCAATATGTCATATTGATCTATTGATATGTTAACATTTATATATGTTATATATATATATATGTGTGTGTGTGTGTATAAAAATTCACAGTTCTTTTCAGAAATGGCCAACACTGAAAACAATTAAGATGTCTTTGAACTGATGGTAGACCACAAAGTATGGTATATCTATCTACACAACAGTATGTTGCCTAAAAAAATCATTTTACTTACCCAGAAATAAAAACAAAGGAGAAATGTACACACTGTATCATTTCATTCATGCAGAATTTCAGAAAACACAAAATAATCTTAAGAGTTCTAGATCAGTGCTCGTGGGGATTGATGACAACCATCGAGGGGAGCGCTTGTATGAGGAACCCCAATATATTACATCACTGATTGAAAACTTTCGGTTGTTTGTGTCCCTTTTAGAAGTATTGTTTCTCAAGAATATTTAAAATTTAAATAACTACTTTAAGGAATTAGTTTGTTGCACTTAACAGCATTTTCAAAACCAAAGGTTTTTTTTTTCTCATTTACTCCTAGGACAAGTATCATCTGCTGTTAATCAGTCTCAGAGTAGTTCAAAGAATGTTACGAAAATATCAGGATCCTCAGTTGCTTACCAGCCAGAGGTACAGAACAGTAATATAGAACAAAAGGTAAGAATGTTTCAAGTGATGTGGTTAGTGTTACTTCATCTGCTTAAGTTCTGTTTACATATGTGACCTCTTTTACTAACCTGGCCTTATTAGGGGAAATGAGTTCTTGCAAGAAAAAGTGTTCCACTCCCCAGGCAAGAAAGTGTCAGCTTAACTATATTATTCATGCACCGTGAAATTCAACACAAGCAAATCCACAGTCCATTATCAACAGTGATGATAATGCTGCTAATTGTTGGTAGTCTAAGAAATGTATGCTCATGTAGACCAAGCACTGGGATAAGCTAAAATATGGAAAAATAAGAAAATTGTTTTATTTTTCTTATTTAATTGAATGCAAATTGAGTCAATTATATGCAAAGGTGAGTGAGGCAGCACCCATCTTGAGGACACATTTTCCTTCATCTGGCTCTGGTCCTAATGAGTATTTTAAATAAGCATTTTATAGTGTTGCAGGATGTTTGAACTGGTAGAAGTATACCTCCCTGTATCCTGTTGAATGACTAAGTTTTGGAACTATCCATTGAATGTCTCACTGTGCCTTTAAATAAAGTACAAACTGGAAGAGAAGTAAGGTCTATATTGCTAGAAATTAAACTCAAAATTGAATTAGATTTGAGACAACAAAAGGTATCCTGGGAAGTTAGTGATGCCCACTGTGCCTGGTACACTTTTGATGACAAACTTAAAGCAGGAAAAGGAAAAAAGGATCTGGATTAATTTGATTTTCTGATAGAAGATAAAAATGTTTTCCTGAAGTTTTGTTACTTATGAATATTTTTTATTTAATATTTTATCATATAGAGAAATGGAATGACGAAAAAAACAAGTGATGAAAGAGGTAAGATTATGAACAGTACTACTCATTTTGTTATTAAGTATATAATTATACTCCATTGTATGGTTTTAAAAGCGTTTTACCTAATTTTAAAAGGAATGATTAGTTCAACTTTTTTATTATTGAAGTAACCTTCCTCCAATCACTTCTTCCTCTTTTTAGTTCACTACAAACCTTGCTGTGAAAAAAAACTTTCTCTCTGTCCCATTTCTCTTCTGAAGAGGTGGCTGCTGCCTCTACTCCCTGTTCTCTCTCTCTCTCTCTCTCTCTCTCTCTCTCTCTCTCTCTCCTTCTCTCTTCTTCCCTCCCTCCCTCCTTCCCTGCCTCCCTCCCTCCCCCTCTCGTTCACCCCCTTCCCTTCTACAATCCACTAAATAAATTCAATGCTCAAACTTATAAGAAAAAAAAGAAAAAAGTCTTCTTAAAACAGCTTTTTGTCACTTTGCTTTCTGCCTAAAGTCAATTTGAAATACAGCTTTGTTTATTTTCTAGTGCAAGCTATAAGTTGTCATTGCAGACTGAATACAATTAAAACAGTCAGTTTTGTCAATGGGCCCTGTTTGTTTCATGAGAGTAAGCTCTTTCGCTCATCACAAGATAAGAATTTCAGACTTTTTCTTTGGAAGCATTTGGGAAGAAGTGACATCTAGAAAGATATTATCCTTGGAGAAGTTAGCTTAACTTAAATAGATTGCTGACTGATTACTCTGGTGAGGGTAGCAGTTTGTGGGAAGAACGTTAGAGCAAGCCTGCAAATTATGATTCTCTTTTGGCACTACAGTGTTTTCATTTTTAAAACTATTTCTTATCTCTCCAGTCCCTTTTAACACATCGGCTAGAAACTCAGTTATTTCAGCTCAAAATTCACCCACAAAGACTACTAGACTTTCATACGCATCTTTGGGGCTTCAAAAAGAAGAGGTATGTAACTTTTAATTTACTCTAAATTGAATCAGAATAAATGAGATACCTCATGGTCATTTTAATATATGAAACTGCCACTCTTTAACCTTACAGTATAACTTAATCCATGACCTTTATCATACAATTATGAAAATATAATAACCCATGGTCAGGGTGGTACCTACATACCCCTCAGAGGACTCAGGTAAGCTTCTTGGATGGTTTGTAATGACACTGATTTATCATTTTACATCAGTAATCAGATAATCTGCACATAAAAAGTTATCACTGGGACCCAAATGTATAGCCATTACATATGAAATGAATATTATTTATAAATTGTTAACCTGTTATCTTAGGAATAAAATCAATATGCGCAGTCTCAATATTATCATGGTGTTAATTAATTATGCTAAGGAGTTTACATAGTTTTCAAAAATTTTGATAGAAGATATTTAATAGATTATCTCCAAATGAATTATTCATATTAAAGTAGAAAAAGACATAATTTTATGTGACTCATAATGCAGAAGAGTTGACATCAAATAATGTAAAATAAAAATGCAGAATATGTGTTATGCTCACCATGATAGTATGCCTCTGAGATATATTTTATTTTAAAGAAATATTTGTTAACTTATTTTTGCATAGTTAGTTCACTAATCTGCAGTGTCACTAGCTTTGTTAAATTACGATCAGGAAAAATTTTAGCTGTTGGAATAGCCACATTGTTTACCATACTTTAAAGCCTCTAACTTTTAATAAATCAAGAAGACCTGTTAAAACAACGTCCTAAAACACATTGTAGTCCACACTTTTGTCTCATACATTTTCAAAACATTACAAGGAAAAAGATGCCAAAAAGCACATGTCAAGTTTGTTCATGCGACTGTAAGTAAAAATTGGCATGATAATGTACAGTGATGACTGATTATTGCAATACTCCCGGCTGCACAATGAGAACATCACTGCGTTACATACAAGGAAGCCGTTCACTTCACTACACAGAAACAGTATGTCTGAACTGTGTTATCGACCTCTCTGAGCATTGCATGCTCTACTCACTTTCGTTTTACTCCTTAATTTGTAGTAGAAGCTCACAGATACCAAATTTAACTGTTCTATGCACTCAGTGCAAAACCTAAAATCACTAGATATTTTTCTTATTGCTTGCTTTCACATTCCAAATATTGAACAATGGAGATGATTATTGTCAATTTTTTCCCCTGCAAGCAGGTATAGTGCCCAGAAAGGTGCAGAAACTCACAATCACTCATGGAGGGTACATGCTCTCTTTTTCAGCACCACTGAGTTGCTACACTACTTATTAAATTAACTACTTTGCCTTTTTGATGTGTTAATTTAGGGTTACCAGAAAATGCTATATTGTAGGAAAGAGGTACCATAGCAGGGACACAGAACCTTCCTCATATAAGTCTTCAGTTTTCACTACTAATGCCAATTCTAACCATATATAATTTCATTAAATTTTCTAATGATACTGTATTTGACATGAATAAAGTATATGCTGAGTATCAAAGTTAAAAAATCATCAGCTGTGTGAATTATAGTATTGTGGACATTTTTTTATTATATTAATTTTAATTCTGTAAATAATAGGTATAAAATAAGCACGAAATAAATATTTCTTACAAATGGAAATTTGTGAGAAACCTAACAATATTAACTTAAATTTAAACATAGAAATGTAAGTTGGTGATAAAAATTTGGAGAAATCTCTTGTTACTGTTTGTGTAGAAGGAGATGCAAGGGGACTGGAATGGAAGACCAAGCAAGAAATCAAGTTACGTTGGTGAGCCAGGTAAGCACCAGCTGGAAGTTGCGCAGCTGTTAAAACAGCCTCCCACCAGCCACCTGCAGTACCCGTTCCAAAGTCTCTGCCAGTTAACATCTGAACACAGTGATTTATGCTCGGTCTTGTACAGTGAACTGAACATAGATGGAAAAGGTAGATAGGACTGTTTCTTAGAGCTTTGACCCTGTAATGGAAGAAACAGTCTAGACACACACAAATCAAGTTTATAAATACAAAAAAGAGTGTGCATAAAACTATGTTATGTATGAGGAGAATGGGTAGGACTATTCTTTGAGGCATGAGGAAAGAGTTTTCTGATTCTGATTATTTCTTTTATTTTTGAGGTTTCGCTACAATTACATCCTTTCCCCTTCTCTTTCTTTCCTCCAAACCCTGTCATACACCCTGCCTTCCTCTTATTAATAAATACATACATAATTAATGTATATATACATACATATTCCTAAATGCTTAAGTACAACATGCTTATTCTGAATAATGTCACTTGTATGTTTGTTTTCAGGGTTGAGCAATTGCTATGCTCATCCCCGAGTCCAGAGGGAGACTCTCCCTTCTGCTGTCGACATTCATTAGTTACCCAGAGTTCTTTGTGTAAGGCTGAGACCACCTGGGTGTCCTGCCTTCTACTGTAGAATGTCTATTAATTTGTCTGTGTTTGGCTAACGTCCAGGAAATCATGTTGGTGAGGGTTTACAGGAGTCTTTTCTGAGTTTTCTAGGATGCACAGTGGCAAAGCACATTCCCTGTTTCTGTAGATCCTATATGTTTTCTGTCCTCTTTTTCTCAGTGTTCCAAAAGCATTCAAAGGTTTCAAATGTTTTAATTTCATGTGGGTTTTAATGAGATATTTCTTATGATCACAATCAAAATTGAGACAATTTCCTAACATTTTATGCTTATATTTTTATGTCTTTTTCACTTGTCTAGTAGCTTGTCTTTTCCTGTCTTCAAGACTTTGAGGCATAGTTTACAAAGACAATTTTATGAATTCATAATAACCTTCCTAATCATTTGAGACATATCAAGTTATTGATATATATATATATACATATATATATATGTAAACTGTATACTAAGGCAGTCGATATATCTTTCACCTCAGCTACACTTGTGCATGTGTTTTGCATGTGTGCATGGTTAGAACACAGAAGATATTCCCTCAACAAAATACTGCTAACAAAAATCACAAAGCATAATGAATCCATAATATTTATTAGTTATAAAAGATAAAACTGTGTCCAATATCATTTCATGTCCTTTTCCTTCAAGTCTGTTATATTCATCTTTTATGAGTTTGATAGTCCATGTTCCACAAGTAAAGTAAAACATGTGATAGTTGCGTTTCAGCACCTTTGACTTACTTCATGTAGTATAATTCTCTTCAGAGTTGTTTCCCTTTTCTTTTCTTTTTCCTTTCAAGACCGCCCTTAAGCATTTTACCCTTCTGCTCTCAACTGAAGATCCATCTTTCAATGTACAGCAAAGTGTCCATAACAACATATTTTATATTAACAAATAAACAAAGCTGAGTTATATACTGTTTATTTAAATACTCGTTGCATCTATACACAGCATGTGTACTTTTATCCTGTTGTTATTATGTTAGCAGTGCAGGATAACAACCATTTATAAATACACTGTGCATTGTTTATTTTGTACTATTATAAATCATAGAGTACAATGTGCAGGAGACATCGATAGGTTATGTGAAAATTCTGTTATTTTGTTCAAAGGACCTTCAGATCCATGAACTTGATATCAAACCAATATCCTAATGATACCAAGGGATAACTCTACATACCGATGTTCTTTATCCCTTCATCATCAATATATATATTCTTTGTATTAGTACCTTTTTGTTCCTATAACAAAACACCTAACCTGAAACAGGACTCAATGTCTTAAAAAATTCCAACTCTTGGCTTGAGAAATTGATTGGCTCAGTTAGTCATTACTTGAGCCCATTTAGTAAAATGATTTTCTGTGGTGATTACTATTTGTGAACACTCCTTCATGTTATGTGTGTGTGTGTGTGTGTGTGCGTGTGTGTGTGTGTGTGTGTGTGTGTGAGAGAGAGAGAGAGAGAGAGAGAGAGAGAGAGAGAGAGAGAGAGAAAGTTTTTTTAATGAGGGATTCACACTGGCCTGTGTGAATTGAACAATAGGATAAGCAGGCTTTCTTCAGAGTTCATGGGATCAGCTTTAGTCCATCTCCCCAGGACAGGGATTATAAGTACATGCCACTACACGTGACATTTTTCTGTGCACTCGTAATCTCAGCATCTTCTCCAAAACCTTGAAGTACATGAAAACAAAGCCGCACAAACTGAAAAAGGTATAGAATTTAATATAGTTTATATATATGCTATTCATTATTTGAAAAAAATAAGAATTGCCAATTAAATGAATTTGAAGTATCTCTAACTATAAGCACAAATTTTCTCTTGACCATTAATTCTAAGACTTTTGTTTCCCATTTATTTGCATAATTAGCACACACAAATCTACACATTTTATCCAGTAAAGCAGCGCAGATGTTCTGAAGAAAGACCTTGTCTCTGTCTTTAGTAACCATAGACAGAAACAGAATCTCACTATGTTATATAAAGTAACTCAGACATTTCAGTGGAACAAGACAAATGACCAATTGATGAACAACTGCTAAGGAAGCATAAACCAAATAGTATATCCCATGAATAGTTGTTGCTGAAAATATTATGGTAAAACTATTACATTTTCAAGATACATGAGTAAGCTTGTAATTATAGGAACATGAATTTTTGGTTTTTTACTTTTAATGCACGTTTTATTTGAAAAAATTATTTGCGTGTATGTCTGTGGGTGCACGTGAGCAAGTTCAGGGTCCTGAAAAAATGAGAAGATGGTATTGGACCCCCAACTGTGGGAGTTTCAAGTTTTTGTAAGCTGTTTGGCATGGCTTCTGGCAACTGAACTTGGGTTCTCTATGAGAGCGGTATGCGCTCTGACCTGATGATCCCGCTCTCCAGTCGCTAGAAAGTCTTTAAGATGAGCGTGGTAGTGTGTGTTCGAAATGCTAAAGAAGGATGTCTCTATGTTTAGGTGTGTCGCAAGGAAAGATTTCAAAGAATTTACCACAGACTCAGCAGAACCTTTAAAAATAAGAAGTATAAATGCAAGGTTCTCCAAAGAAAATGACCAAGGCAACAATCATCCAGAGACATTGGAAGGATATTACAGTAGAATATTAAATTTGACTCTGTCTATAGGCCATAGGACACACACAAAAGACTCGGCATCGAGAAGTGGTTAAGGAGTTCAGGTTTTACAGCATATTGAACTCTTTGCTAAGAACTTTGGAAATTGCTGCGTAATATCCTGAAAAGCTTGTAAACTAGTCAGTTACTAGTGAGAACAGTTTGATTATGGTATTGCCATTTTAAATGTTACTGATGATGAATATAAATTATCATTTTCATTTCTTGATGCTTAGGATCGCAGGGTGGTCCTCCACCCCCGGGTATTTTTTCTTCTCCTGTTTACTCAACTATGTAAGTATCCAAATTATTAACGTGGAATTGTGCATTTATATTTTGGTAACTGCTTAAGTACAGGACTACATGAAATCTCTTTTTTTGTAGTTCTGCTTAGATTTACTGAAAGCTCATTGCTTGCAAACTTGAAGACTTAGCTTGAATTGTAGATAAAGTGAAAGCCATCGTCCTCCCTCCTGTTCAGTCCTCTGTTCCCCGAACCCAGCATCTGCACCCTTTACTTCAGGGTTTCTTTGTATTTCTCTGAAATATTTACCTATGACTTTTGACACTATGGGCTTCTAAGTACTGATAAAATTGTTCATCATAGCATTTCAATTACTTGATCATCTTTCTCTTTCTTTAAAATTTTACAGTGTTCTCCAAAATAATACTAGTGTTGGAAACTGCAACATTTAGCGAAGAGATGTTAAGCAACAAAGCTTTTCATTTCTCAAAGAAATATTGGGAAACGGATATTTTAGCATTTTTTCAACTTGAAAAAATGGCTACTGTTTTAGAAACACTGTGATCTTTTAAAAATGTTTACGTGGGGGTGAACATGTGCATGCACATGTGCGCAGACAGAAGTCAACATCACTGTTGTCTTTATCTTCTCTTGATACTTTGTTTTAATGAGGCAGAGTCTCTCTCTGCAGCTGATCCAGTTTTTATGTATGTGCTCAGGATCTGAATCCAGTGTTCATGCACAGCAAACTATTTGCAGACAGGACTGTCTTCCCAGCAACCCAATGCTAAAATTTTAAAAAGAACTCAACAAATCAAATGAAATACAAACTGAACTGCACACTTTACAAACCTAGATTCCTATGAAAATGGACATACGATAGAAAATATCTCTGATGACAAAAGATTTTAATGTTTGAACTCAGCTTTTCAATGATGACTGTCAGCTTGAGCTTGATGGGTGTCGGTGTGTAGGACTCAGTGCGTGTTCACAGAATACACAGTGTGTAGGACTCAGTGCGTG